GGAGGGTCTTACTGGGACGGGAGGCCTCTGCATGTGCACACCGCTCCTCACTGACTGAGGGGTGAAGAATGTGCATTAAGATGTCGGTTTGCGTTGAATGTTATGCCTTTGGGCTGAGGTCTATTTGTTGAATGAGAAAGGACAGGAGGTGACGCTCTGGGACAAATGACATCACTGGGAATGTGATAGAAACAGCTGCAAGTGATGGTATATTGGAAGTGTGTCAAAAAGATATGCAAATGTTTTCAACTTAAGCTGTAGCAGGATGTGATATTAAATATATAGGCAGGTTACAAGTAAGTGCATTGGTTAGAAAATAGTACATACATATATGTTTTACAAGCAAACAATTATTGGGTTTAACCCAGAGGTTCCCAAAGTGGGGGGCGCAGAGGCATGACAGGGGGGAGACCAGGAGGAAAAATGGCTATTTAAAAAAATTAAAATAAATCAGAATTTGAAAAATTATTGATTCGAAAATAATAATAATATGATACGTCTGGGTCTCTGTGTTTCATTAAAGCTTGGCTCTGTGTGTGTGTGGAACGAGCCATTTTGTGTGCGTGCGCGAGCGAGAGAGAGAGAGCGCACCGGTACGGTACCGGAGATCGTAGTTGTTAGCTTCTGGTGCTAGCGAGCTACGCTAACGGATATAAGGAGCTTTTTCAACAACAAGCTGGAGGAGAGTCCTCTCCTGTCAGACTGAGAGACTCAGTGAGCTAAAGGACTCTCTCAGTGTTTAGATAGTTAACTTTAGTCTAAGTTATCTCAATGGGTCTCAAATGTTTTGGTCATCATTAATGTAAACAATTATTTCCGAGGCACACGTTTATATGATCATTATAGGTATAAAAAAATAATCAGAGAATAAATGAAAAACAGTTATGAAATACTATATGACAGTAAAACAAGAATAAAGTTTAAAAGGGTGATTTGTAAAATATCCATAAAGAAAAAGAAAATCTGTTTACAGTTCTGTTTCATCTGGGTGTTGAGAGAGGTATCCATAGATCTCTTCATTTTGCTCTCAAAGTGCACCAGATTGATGCTTTTAACTTCAATATTTAAAATAAAATATTCCCAGGGGAGCTTGCTGAGGTCCACACACCACCTGTACAAATAGCACTCTACCCCTGCTTACACCTATATGCCTCGAGCCTTCATTGTAACTGTCACACTGTGTATTTGCGTAGGGATTGTTGCAGTAGAAAATTCCACTGTGGCGACCGGTACCTTAATGGGAAACCCTAAATGTTTGAGCACCCTCTATGAAACGTCAAGCTACCCCACAGCACCCCAAAATAAATCTCTGGCGCCGCCACTGAGCCTGACTATTTGTGTTGGGGGGGCCCGACTTTTTTTTTTCTCCAAACAACTTTATTATCTTTGGTTAAACCAGTGGTTCTCAAACTTAGGAGGTGTTCTGTCAGCCCCCCCCCCACCCCCCCCGCCTGACAGAAAAAGTTTGAGAACCACTGGTTTAACCAAAGATAATAAAGTTGTTAAGGTAAGAAGAGGGAATATATCTATATGTTATAGGTCATATCAAAGTGCCAGGTAGTTTGATTGTCAGACTGTTTTTCATAGCTCATATATATGTATGTCCAGTGATATAAACATGTCATTTGACATTTAACTCAAATGACACTAGATCATCAGGTGTGATTTTGGGACTGGGGAAGGGGAGGGGGTGTATGTGTGCAGTGTGTAATGTTTGTGAGTCTGTTCGATCAAAAATGTAATACAAATATTTCAGTGAAAATAATTCGACTCGATCACAATCTCTGAACTTTATTTGAAACATGCCAAGTTTCATTTCCCTGAAGATATCCAAGGGTTTACTATAACTCTACTGTATCTTGATGCTAGTGCATTTGCTGCAGTTGGTTGTCAGATTTAGACACGGCAGCATTGAGTTTTTAAAGGTGTGATAGGTCAGGTTTTTAGATTGATATCACTCCTATGTTATCATGTGACCAAGGACTCCAGGTCCACTATATATAAATACATCGGTTCAAAATAAATGGTTCTGCAGAGCTTCAAACTCAACCTCAGCCAGCATGTGCGGAATGAAAGTACATGTATAGGTGCTTAGCTTTCTGATAGCCCTAGAGTTAAGTCATACATTTAGAATAGAGAACTGTTATATGTCATTCATATGTTTCATATAATAAAGATCTATGAATAGTGTGTCCCCCAGAGGTGAGATCTCATGATGTCATGCAGCCAATCAAACTAGTGCTGTTAGAAGTTATACATCACTGCAACCACAACGTCCAGTTGAACCACTGCTATTTGCTGACAGGTCATGTCGTTTGTGACAAACATTAAGCTCCTTCTGCTGAAACAAGTGAGATTTGTGTTTTTGAAAACAATCTTGTTGAATGTGTGTATTTAGTTATTTTAATTGTGTACTTTTTTATTATTATTATTGTGTTTCTTTTTTATGTTTGACTTTGACCCCGCTGTCCTCAATCATAGCCATAGACTGTGCATAGAGTGTAAAGGTTGTGAGCAGGTCTGCAGCTGTTCTTTCAGTGTGTTTGAGGTGTAGGCTCTCCAACACCTCCTAAGGTCTCTCCCCTCTCAGAGTTGTGGCCACAGAAAGCAGAGCTGCTCCTCACCTCCACTCCTGTAGCGGTGCAGCCCATTTGATATATGTACATTAAAGAGGTGAGGCGTCTGCTGGCAGAATCTGCTTTCTACCGCCTTCAATCAATGAAAACGTTTTTGTGAGAGGAGCCCAAGATAAATATTGGCAGAAAAGAAAAATATGTCGTCCTCCCCAATCGAGGGGACATAATGATATTCAAAAGGAGACCCCCTGCTGAGATGCAAGGCAAACTGTTCCTAAGCAACAAAACACATTTCCCTCTCCGAGTGCTCACATCGAGGCTGGTGTCAGGATTTAGGGAGGTGTGTGTGAGTGTGAGTGTGAGTGTGTGGCGCTGACAACTTAAACCGGCAGTGGGTCATTCTGTCTCTATACTGTGTGTCTTTGTCTATTGGGTGTGCGTTTGCAGTCTTCAGTGTGTGTGTGTGTGTGTGTGTGTGTGTGTGTGTGTGTGTGTGTATGTGTGTGTGTGTGTGTGTGTGTGTGTGTGTGCTGAGTGGATTAGGGGTGTTAGGGAACAGTGACCAGCATCAGTGACAGTGGATTGAGTCCAGATGTGCTCAGCTTGCAGCAGCGTGTGAGATGTGACACTCTCACTCTCTTCATTTATAACAGCAAAGTTCCTGATCTAACTGTAGAGTTAATATGAGTGTTAAAGCAATTAAGGTAGCGTGGGTAATCTATTCAAGATGTTTAATTTGATATATTTAATACAAAATATATCAAATTCAATTCTGTTTAAATTCCGATAGAAACAAATATTAAATGTTCTGACGAAGGAAAGAAAATCATCTGGAATATGTGAATGACCATCCTTTAAGTTTCCCATCGTTTTTCTGTCTTTATAATTGAGGTACTTCGCAGAATGAATCAACAACACCAAATATTTTCAACAAAATACATTATTTAAATGATTTTGCTCTTTCCCCGCTTTGATTCTTATCACTATTGCTATTTCACTTATTTACTGCTTTTATCCACAGCAACTTACAATAAGTGCATTCAACAAAAACCTGAATATATATGGGAACAATCCAAAAATCTGATCTTTAAACAAACATTAAAAGATGACATCCTTCATGTCTAATCAGGGGGTCATTCATAATGTTTTGTGTTGTATGTAGTTCTGCTTCTCACTTCTTATTTAGCAAAATACCAGAAATAGTTGACAGTTTAAGTTATTTCCCAGAAGGCACTATAGATTTGCATGACGGGAATATATGCCGACGGTTTGCCCCATTCTGTCCAGCAGTTTGAACATGGTGAGGAGGGGGAGAGGTGGTCCTGCTCCTCAGCCTCTCCCCTGTCATCCCGAACCCTTTCTCTCTCCCGCCATGACGTTATACACCTGTGTCAGAGTCACTCCCTGCTGTGATGTGTTTGGAGTATTGGCATGGTGACGGCTGGGCACCTTGTTACTGAAGGATGATTAGTGGGTTGGCATCATGATCACTGAGACTCCTCATCACTGCAGTGACGGAGAGGAGAACTCAGGATCTGAATCTAAACATTCACAGCTGTTCAGGGTTCAGTGAGGATGAATTCTGTCCTAAACTGTAGATTTGATCAAAGTCATAAACACATCTAATAATAGATCATCCAGAGAAAAAGATCACAGAGTAATCCCATAATAATCATATCTCAGTGAGAGCTTATAAATGATCCAACACTGCCACCTAGTGGCATCCACTGCTAGTTTCAGCTTCAATAATGAAACAACCAGACCGAGGCAAACATGAACCCAGAGAGGGGCTCCGCTGAAATCTGCTCATGAAGCAGCCAAGAAAATAGCTTCAAAAGTACATCATTTTCAAATAAAATAATAAAAGTTACAGTGCAGTCTAAGATATGAATTGTTCAATTAAAAGCAGCGACAAAAAGAAAAGTCTTCTTGCTGGATTTAAAAGTAGTCAGAGTTGCAGCGGACCTGCAGGTTTCTGGGAGTTTGTTCCAGATATTTGGAGCATAATAACTGAACGCTGCTTTACCATGTTTAGTTCTGACTCTGGGGACAGAAAGCTGACCAGTCCCTGAAGACCTGAGAGATCTGGATGGTTCATCATTTAGCAGGAGGTCAGAAATGTATTTTGGGCCTAAACCATTCAAAGCTTTATAAACCAGCAGCAGTCTTTTGAAATATATTCTTTGACACACAGGAAGCCAGTGTAAAGACTTCAGAACAGGAGTGATGTGATCCACTTTCTTAGTGTTAGAGAGGACTCGAGCAGCGGCGTTCTGATACACTAGATCTTTTAGTGAGACCTGTAAAGAAACTGACAGATTGAAATGCATGGATATGTTTCTCCACTTGTCCTGCTGAGACTTCTGTCCAGCTCTTGCCTGGTTTGAGTGGAGATATTCTTAAGATGATAGACAGGAGGCTGACTGACTGAATTCAGGTCCATTACTGCTCTAGGTTTACAGGCTAAAGTCCTGCAGTCATAATCGCACAAGGCAAGTTTATTTATAAAGCACATTTCAAGGAATTACAACCAATACAAATGAAAATGTAAAGCATTACGATACAGTACAACAGAAACACTTTATAAAATCACATAGTGCTCAACTAATATAAGTGTACCATGTATTTTCAGCTAAACACAGAGAAGGGACAGGGGGGTGCAGTGCTGAACATGTGGAGGTCTCTCTCCTACAACGTGTAACTTAGGTGATGGGGACTGGAGGCTGGGAAGGTTCCAGTCCGCCTCCTGGGCCCTGCCGAGGTGCCCTTGAGCAACTGCTCCTGGCACCAGACGGGTAGAAGCCCCTCACTCTGCCACCTCTCCACTACTGCATGTAGTCCTGTTTGTGCATATATCAACTATGTGTGTAATGTTAATAACACCAGAGTGAAACGCTGAATTCCACTCAGGGATGTTTCAAGTCTGTCTTTCTAACTCTTAGTATCGTAAGTCAAATGACTTCATTATCTGTGTGTAATATAAGTAGAGTAAAACATAGAGTAGCATTTTCCTGTTGTCACTGATCCAGGTGCATCAAGTTTGACCTTCTTTATAGTCAGCAGGTAAGAATCGTTTCATCTAGAGGAGCCCTTCACCCACCAGATGATTCTGAGGAGTCATCAGACGAGAGCAAAGGAGAACAAGTTGTTCAGGACACACAGTTCTTCTGTTATTAGTGTAGAACTTCAAATGCCTTTGCAAGATCCTTAAATGTCACGAAAAACGATCGCATGACACTATGAGAATATTGAATCGACATATTTTCTGTCCCTCTCAGAAAGTCTGCATGTTGTGTTTGAGGGACTCACAGATGGTGTGGTGAAATTGTCTCGCAGCGGCTTGCGTCACAATGTTTCCGGAATAAACTCCACTAATTTCCCCGCGTGGTGATTAAGTATGTACAATGAAATAATTTGCTGTTCCGTCGCAACCAATTATGTACACTTTGGAGTCGTGAGTGGCAACATGAGAGAGACACAAATTAGCTGCCATTTGTAACATTTATCCTTCCTGGATATCAGAAGCCAAATCAAAGCAATTATGACCCGAGCGTGTCTACTTCGGAGTTTACCGAGTTCATTACGCAAATTAACTTCCTAATTAGCTTTTGGCTTCATACTCACTTTCATCCGCTTTTTTAGGGTGCTTTTAAGTAATGGCCGGCACATTAGAGCCCAAACAGAGCTGTGTGTAAATACAACAGGGGCAGCAGAATGGCCCGCTTACAATCAGACCTAATCAAAATCCCAGCATGCACCAGGGGACATTTGATGGCTCAAATATTGCGAGAAAAACAAGGTCCTCCTCCGCACAAATGCTGCATGTTATTGACTTCACTCTGTCCTTTATTAAAGAGCTCAGGAAGCTTAGAGAAAAAAAGATTTCATTTCAGTTTTTGTATTTGCATTAAGTGTAGATCCAAAGAGAAGAAATTATCTCAACCTTCAGTAGTTAAAGGGATTGTTCCTGATCAAGAACTCCGCCTAGAAGGAGTCAAACCAGAAGAGATGATCAGGATCACATTTATGTTCAGGCGGAACATCGATATGAGCTAATAACAGTGAACACAGAAATGTTGAGTACACCAAAGTTTTATGTTAGAAATATATAGTAAGGTCCCCAGCACATAGAAGACGCCGGATGCTAGCTTGCCTATGTTGGGCAATTTGCACAATTGGCATAAGGTTGATTAATTAGCATTAATTAGCATATGCAGACAATTGCTACACAAATGACTTGGCCGATTTGGACAATTTTGGTTTGTTTTTTAGGTATATTGAGGATGTTGAATTAATTTCTAAAATGTTTAGGATAAAAAATGTCAATTTTGAGTCCCCTCAAACAGTAAAATCGACCCATGATTCATGCAAATTAGCATACAGAGACTACAAGTATGGCAATGTTCTGGTTAAAACTGCAATTTTCTATCCTGAAAATGTCAGAAATTGACTCATAATAACCCCCAAAACCACTCCAAAATTGTCCAAATCAGCCAAGTTAATTTTTTTGCTATTGTCTGAATATGCTAAATAATGCTAATAAATGCATCTTATGCTAATTGTGCAAATTGCCTAACATATGCAACTTAGCATCCGGCAGTTTCTATGTTTCTTACTATAAATGTTTTCACCCTCAACCAAGCCACACCCCCAGGGTATGTTTACCTGCAGAAGCCCCGCTCCATGGGTCGGGGTGGTGGGCTGGCTGTTATGCACAGAGTGGAAATCCTGATAAAACAACTCCCTGTTGTAAATACAACCTCATTTGAGTGTATTGTCTTTTCATTGGCTGGCTCATCACAGCTACAGGTTGTCCTCATATACCGCCCCCCCCCCCCCCCCCCCCAAAGCCTCCGCCACCTTCATGCCTGAGTTCTCTGAGCTGCTCACCTCTGTCTGCTCCAGATCTCCATCCACATTACTGCTTGGTGACTTTAACATCCATGTCGACTCCAGTACATGCACCTTTGCCTCTGAATTTCTCTCACTACTCGACTGCTTCAACATCACACAGCACGTCCAAGGTCCCACCCACACCAAAGGTCACACGCGGGACCTAGTTTGCTCTATTGGCACCCCTCCCTCCCATCTCCAGGGCCTGGACCTAGCTGTTGCGGACCACCTTGCCATACTCTTTACTGTTCCTGTCTTCCTGCCCACTCAGCGTGCAAAACGCACCATCACATTCAGGAACACCAAAACACTGAGTGCACCGGCCCTGACCAGCAGGATAGCAGCCCACCCATTCCCCTTACCACCACAGTGGATGGCCTGGTTGCTTGCTACAACTCAGCTCTATCCCTCAGCCTTGACTGCCAGCCCCCTTCAAAACCCGGACTGTCTCCTTTACCCGTTCGGCCCCTTGGTTCACCACTGAACTCCGCACCCTGAAGGCTTCTCGTCGTCAGCTAGAGAGACTCCAAAAAAGAACTGGCCTCACCGTCCACCGTGACTAGGTCTTGATACTACTCCACCCTCATTGGCTGCCAACATAACCAACGGAGAATGCTGTTCTCCACCATAAACCGGCTTCTCCGGACCTGAACCATCACCGGTCGATCTTCAACCTTCCTTTCCTCAGCAAAATCCTGGAAAGAGCAGTTGCCGCACAACTCCAACACCACATGTCCAACCATGAGCTCTATGAACCCCTTCAGTCTGGCTTCAGACCCCACAACAGCACAGAGACTGCCCTTATTAAAATCATGAATGACCTCCTAATTGCTTCTGATTCCGGCCTCATCAGCATTCTGATCCTCCTGGACCTCTCTGCAGCCTTCGATACCATATCCCACACCATCCTCCTCAGCCGCCTGTCTGACCACCTTGGCCTCAGTGACACAGCTCTTGCCTGGTTTGAGTCTTACCTCTTGAACCGGAAACACTTTGTCACCATCAGTGACTGCAGTTCCCCATCGACCCCAGTCAACCAAGGTGTACCTCAAGGCTCTGGGCTTGGACCCCTCCTCTTCACCATTTACATGCTCCCACTTGGTCAAATCATCCGCCACCATGGTCTCAGCTTTCACTCATACCCTGATGACACACAGCTCTATCTCTGCACCAAACCGTCCACCTCAGCTCCCCCTCAATCTCTTGTCAACTGCCTACAGACTAGAGATGTTAAGATTCACCGATTCGCATCGGTGCACCGGCATAAACGTTCAAGATGCGAGTGCACCGGTTGAAAGAGTGCACATCGGCTACAGTTTGGGTTGAACCGGGTTGAACTCGCAATGCATCGATTGCGTAGCGTCTTTGCATCGGTAAAAAAACGATTAATTAATATAAAATCCCCTCATCTTGTCAACGCTCAGCAGAGACGATCTTTGATATTTGCTTTGCCACTACGGAGGCCGAGAGTCTCAGTTATCAACACACATGGAAGTTGAGGAGAAAGAGAAACACAGCGCACCGAAAAATACCTACAAATCAAACGTTTGGCAACACTTCGGTTTGTTCAAGAAAGACGGTGTAATAGTCCTTTATGCTAGGCTATATAGTTGACCGCAGGTCATGGAGAGTAATAAGGTATCCGTAGACCTTTGTATGAGGTATCTTTATTACTTAACAGGTCTACAGCCATGATACATAGATCCGTTCTAGATGCGGGCTTGCATACACACAGTATCACTCCGCAGCCGCACCCCATCAGTAACGTCCTGATGGTATATGTGCGCGGCACTATATACTACAGACAGTCAACTTGAAAAATCGCTCGCAAATTGTTAACGATGCCGAGCCGCTTTAAAGTACACAAGTAGTACGAGGAACTTAGCGACGCACATAAAGAGGCGACATGGGGTCTGCGGCTGAAAAGAGAAACCTGAAAGTTAGACATATGAGTGAAATCACTCAGTGAGGTGTTCTGTCAGAGAGAGTGGTGTTTAGTGTACAGCAGCCTGTGACGGCCAATAATAGTTTAAAATGTCTTCCTTACTGTAAGCAGTTATGAAATACCTGTCTGTGAAAGGTTATTTGTATTCTTTATTGTTCCTATAGAAACCACTGCTTTCTGCTCACTGGTGAGTTAGCCTATGAATGAGTGTTAAGCACATCAGGCTGGCAGCTGTATGGGCATTGCACTATGGTAGCTGTTATTTGCACATTGTTAATCATGAGCAATGCATCCTTACATTGTTTAACTGTGAGGTGTTATACAATTGTACTGTAGCCTACTCTGGAGAGCTTTTAAAGGTAAAAAAATAAACGGCATGATGGGCTGTGCAGTACCAAATATGTAAAGCACTTTTTTGTTAATGTATGATTTGCTTAATATAAGGAATACAACAAAAATTCTCTGTCGTACCATATTGAAGTATCATTATTTTTGCATCGTGTTGAATCGTATCGCACCGAATCGCATAATGTTGAATCAAATCGTATCGAACTGTATCGCAACAGGGGTGAATCGTATCGTATCGCATCGCCTGGTGTTTCAAATGTATCGTTAATGTATCGTATCGTGGCAACGTATCGAGATGCGCATCGCATCGGCCTCAGTGATGGAGATGCACATCCCTACTACAGACATACAAAACTGGATGTCATCAAACCTGCTCAAACTAAACAGCAATAAAACAGAGCTCATGATTGTGGCTCCCAAGGCGCAGCTCCGGAAGGTTGGAGATCTGCTTCTCTCCATTGACGGCTGCTCCATCTCTCCGTCCACTGAAGTCACCCTGGACACCACCCTCTCCTTCCAGGCTCACATCAAATCTGTCACTGTGACGGGGTTTTCTTTGTTCGTTCGTAAACATAGACGTAGTCGGTTGATTTAAGCTCAAAAGGTTTTATTTATAACGACAAAAAAAAAATACTGTTTGACCAGAATATCGAAACAAGAATAAATTAAATAAACAAAATCAAAGTTAACGAAATTAGGTTTTCTATCACTTAGATATGGAGTAAACATATCCACGAGCTGTTGCCTTCGCTGCAACAATCTCCCGAAAGACAGTCCAGGGCCAACACCGTCCCTTATGAACACATAGCCCCTCCCCACAGGCTTACCGTCAATGGTTACACAATTCATTCAAAAAGAGCATTGTCAACCTCATTCTAACACCTCAAACATGAGAAAAACGATACGACCCAAACCCATACATAAACAGGTTAACTATCTTATAACACAATCATCCCCCATCATTAATAAACGCAAAAGAAAGAATACATTGCATGCTTCATTAAATCATATTTAAACCACAGAAGTGATGCGCCTCCGTCTTTTCCCACATTCCCCTTTGCTGGGGAGACGGCGGCGAAACTGCCGTTCCCTGCTCGTCATGCAAGTATCGCGTACTTTAGTTTTGTATGTGTTAAATAATTGTAGACTGTGTGTGTGTGTGTGTGTGTGTGTGTGTGTGTGTGTGTGTGTGTGTGTGTGTGTGTGTGTGTGTGTGTGTGTGTGTGTGTGTGTGTGTGCGCACGCGTCGCAGGCTGTCAGTGGCGGAGTACGTCACAGTCACCAAATCGGCTTTCTACCACCTCAAAAACATTTCCAGACTCCGGCCTTCACTCTCTGACTCTGTGGCAGAAACGCTAATACACGCTTTCATCACATCCCGTCTGGACTACTGCAATGGAGTCCTGTCCGGGGTTCCCAGCAAAGCCCTGGAGAGGCTCCAGTACGTCCAGAACTCTGCCGCCAGGATTCTCACCCGCACCAAGCTCTGGCAACACGTCACCCCCACCCTCCTCCATATTCACTGGATGCCGGTCAAGTCCCGGATTCAGTACAAAACACTCCTCCTCAATTACAAGTCTCTCCATGCCCTCGCCCCCCAGTACTTATCGGACCTCCTCCATCCCTACACCCTTCTCGGAGTCTGCGGTCCTCAGACACGGGCCTGCTCTCCATTCCCCGCTCTCGCCTCCGAACTGTTGGTGACAGGGCGTTCAGTGTTGCGGCCCCCACCATCTGGAATGCACTCCCTGCAGAGATCCGCAATGCTGCTTCCCTGGACATCTTCAAGTCATCATTAAAAACTCACCTGTTCACCATGGCCTTTGACCCCTAACCCATCACAGTCCCCCTGCTTCCACTCCTACTGCTATTTATTAAATGTTTTACTTTGTTAATTGCCCCTTTTGTTTGTTCACCATGTAAAGCGGCCTTGGGTCCCTTGAAAGGCGCTATACAAATGTAATCTATTATTATTATTATTGTTATTATTTCTAACATAAAACTTTGGTGTACTGCAAACAGACTTTAATAAGAAGTGCTGAGTCATACCAGGAAGTCCACGGGGTCCTGAGGGTGGGCGGTGCAGCACTCCACCAGGCCCTGGGTCAGGGGTGGGCATGACGTGCTCCATCAGGTAGATCGTCATGGGGACGGACTGGACCTCCAGCAGCTCCTCTTCCTGCTGCCTCATCTCCTCCAGACCCCCCGTCTGACAGGACGCATCACAATGTAAAGCATGGCTCTCAGACACTTACAGGAAACACTAGTTTAGCACTTGTTTATTGTTTGGTCCATCCTGTTGGCTAATGATAATGTTGGTGACTAGGACTGGCACTCTGAGAGCAGAAATGTCTGCCAAGGCTGATGTTGCCTTCACATGCTGCTGAGATGGTCATATTTCTTCCAACTTCTGAGTGTTTATGAGCTCATGAAGTTAGTATTTGCAAACAACAATGGAAGATGTGTTGTATGTTATTTCTCAGAGTGATCAATTTAACATTTGTTCTTATAGCGTATAGTCTCTGTGCGATATGACGTCAACTTGACAAGCCCTATACCAAAATTCCCATCAACTATTCTAGTTGTTGTCCTGACTTCAGAGGATTCCAGCACCACATGAATGATGCACAAATATGCAATTTAACAGAGAGAAAAATAATGCATTTATCTGCCTGTGATTCTCCTCGATGCCTCAAAAGGGATCTTTCTAAGCAGACTTCCACCAAAAGTCATTCAATGAAGCCAGTCGTTGCATAGTAAAACTGTGTGAACACAGGGAGTAAAGAAAGTGTAAGTGGAGAGTTGTACTTTGTACTGTAAAGGATGTTTAAAATAAACATATTATTCTTCCCCGTCTTTGATTTCTAAAATAAAGAAGGGGAAATCATTCTCAGAGTGAGACGTGCTGCCGCTGGGCGCTTTTCTTGGTTTATATCATATTTAGTCCACCACATCCTGTTTCATTTTTAGCCAGGTTCAGTTGTCTAAAAGTCTGTCCATTTTTGTTTTATCTGAGTGGAAATTTTAGGCAAAAAACGCAGGTGAAATGTTGGTCGTCAGATTGATGTCCACCTAGTTTTATATCTAATAAAGTTGTATTTTTGAAACTGCATTTTAGTTTATTATTTTTTGGCAAAAATATTGATGTTGATAGAGACACAGTGTGTGTGTGCTGCCTGTAAATCCTGTCATCCCCTCTTGTCAAAACGTTTGTTGACATACAGTCATAGTTTTCTTACCAAATGACCCCTGGATGACAATAGAGCAAACCCCAGAATGTGCATCTAATGAAGCAGGCTATAAGAGGCGGAGCCTAGTAAAAAAAACCTAAGTGGACCTTTGAGTAAAGATTTGTATTTTATACATAACAAGGCCTAACCTGATCTAATACTTTCCTCATTTGCTGTTTTCTGGTATGCAAGACTTATAAATAAGAAATGTAGGAAAAGCTGAGATGATCAGAGATAAGTAGTTCACTCGTCATCTAGTTGTTACCAATCATTTCTATACAGATTGTATTGGACTATAGAAGTTAGATGGGCACATGTTTAGTACTGAATGTATGGTAACACATCCCTAATAGGTGTGAGAGCTCCTGTCTGCCATCAGGAGCTCTTCATGTTGAGGAGAAATACCAAGCAAAAGCCTATTTTAATTGTTGCCTTTACATAAGAGATATTGTGAATGGGGAATAATAGAGTGGTTTATTGTGACATTTGTTTTTTCTTCTGTCTGCTGTATTCTCAGCTTTGGTATAAACACGCTGATCATGGGTCAGTCTCGTGATGGAACAGTCTTTGTTTTGTGAAGGTGTGTTACCTTCTCCTGCATTACCCACCCACTGGTCCCAGTTTGCAGCCCTGTGTGTGGCCTCCTCCTCCTCCCTCCTCTCCTGCTCCGCCCTCTCCTGCTCCTCTCTCTTCATTCTCTCCTCAGCCTTCCTCCTCTCCTCTTCCTCCACCTCCCTGCAGCTGGGGCCGTAGTTCCTGGGCTGGCCCAGTGTGTCCAGGATCTTCTGCATCAGCAGCAGGCAGTCCGGCTCCTCGCTGCTGCTGATCTCTGAGGAGGAGGACAGGAGACACACTTAGGACAGGATTTCAATATCCGGAGGGATAGAAGGGTGAGATGCATGACTTCTTAACCCTAACCCTACAATCATTTTACACAATCGTTCTGCTATCTGGATCTGGACGCAAACAAGTCAATCTGCAATTGATTCAGACTATGGAAGCCGTTACTAATTAATCTAAATAAAATACCGTAATTGGTATTAAACCTCTATGTATCATTCTTTCAAAAGTCAAATAAAGCTCATTCATTGATTTTACAATAGTGTCAACAAACACTCTTTCCTTCTTTCCAGACTTCTTAAGGCTTAACTTGAATTAAGAATACAAAATAATAAATCAATAAAGATTAGAAACTTTTTCAAAATAAGCGGGAACCCTGCGGCTAAGGCAGATTGACTTGTGAATCCAAATGAACATTGATAAGGAAAGCACAGTTTGTGGCTCATCTCACTAACTAACACACAACAGGCGTGAGTGATTACCCAGGTACAGAGGGGTGGTGTCCAGCTCATCAAAGTAGTTCCCCACACTCTCATCCTCCATGTTGTTCTCTCTGTGCCTGCCCAGGCGGAGCAGGAAGTGCTCCTGCTCGTAGTTGTGCTCCTGCACCAGCCTCTCAGGCAGGTTCATCACCCGCTCCTTAAGGAACACATCTGATGCATCCAGACTCAGCACACACTCTGCAGCACACACAAGGAAACCATCACACACACACACACTGATATCTGTAAAGTATAAAGATTCTGCTGTTGCATCTAAACAATACGCCATTTAAAAAACTGCTGACTTTGAGACGATGGAACTGTACTTGATAAAATGCAGACTCATTTCTGGTTGCTAGAACTCATTCCTTCACCACCCTACATTACTTGCTGGGGGGGGACATAAAGCATATGGATAGCCCTGCAGAGACCTGGCATCATCTTCCTGCTGAATGAAGACATCTGGGATGTTCCGTCTTCTGATTCCTGTTCTTCA